ATTTTAAATTAGTAAACTCGAATGTTAATTTGGTTAAATTAAAGATTAATTTGATGTTAATTTAATAAATTGAATATTAATTAAATAAAACTGAAGGTTAATTTAGTGTCAATTTTATAAAATAAAATTTTAAACTGATGAAGTTAAATATAAATTAGAAAAACGGTTCAAAATAAATATTAAATTTATGAAATTTAATATTAATTTGAGATGAAATCACTATCTTTTTGATGTAAAAATTACAAAAATTAGTGGTAAAATTACGAAAAAACATTAAGGACTGGGCAAATTGCGTGATGGTCCTATTTTTGGGCCCCTAATTAATCTTATACTAACAATGTCGTGTGATACAAATTATTCTCTAAATTTCTATATATCTGTTATTTAAAATTTTTACGCAAAAAGTCGAAGAAGTTATTAAATAGTTTTAATATGAGTTAAAAATAATTACACAAGACTAAAATATCTTTATTCAATACGTATTTAAAAAAAAAATGAAATATGAAAGGTACTTAACTTCCACCTAATATAATACATTGAAATATTAATGCTCGGTTCGGTAGGAATGATGTAAAGTAAAGAGGATGAAAAGTAAGAGGGATACGCTTTCTATCTTTCAAGAATGGAAATTAAGAATGATATATTTTCCTTATTTTGTATTTGGTTAGATGAATAAAATATAAAAATAACTAATTTGTTTAGAAATTTTTTTTGTTTAATATTAGGGGTAATAATCGAGTCGTGTCGTGTCAGATTCATGTTAAGTCATAAAATTATGAGTCTTTTATATTTCTTGTTCACGTGTCAAGTCATTTTCAAGTTCGTGTCGAGCTATAATCAAGTTCGTACTATAAAATTCGTATCGAATTCGAGTCATGTTATCATGTTAAGTCGAAAATTTTCATCCCTACTTAAGATGAAAAAAAATATATTTTTTAATTTAAAATTTTAATTTATTTTTTTATTTTTTAAATATATATATATACACACACACACACATATTTTATTATTGTATTTTTATATGAAATAAATGTATATATAATATATAGAAAAATTAGATACATTTTAACACAAATAATTAATTTTACATCCACTTTTCTTTCGATTTTAAAAGGATTAATTTTGGTGAGTTAGAAAGAAAATTATTTTATCCACTTTTTCATCCTTTCTATTTTCCTTCATTACCAAACATGATATTTTATTTATTTCTCTAACTTTTCATCCTTTTAATTTTTTATCTTTCTATTTTTCTATCATATCAAATAGAGCACAAGAATAAATGTGGAAAAAAATATATTATTTATACTTTGATTTTATTAAATAATGTATATCAAAAATTAAAAAAAATTATATAAAACGATAGATATTTAAGGATCAAAAAAAGACGTTGTCCAAATCAATCAAACAACGTGTAAAACAACTGTATTTCATGGGAATGCAACAGTGTCGGTACCAGACATTTTAGTATCATCATCATCATCAATGTGTGTCCTCGGACTATTAAAACAGCTAGCGACCATTCAAAGCAGATATGTTGGGAAAGGGGAGGGCTCCGGTACAGATATTTAATTTTTTGGTACCACATGAAAAAGCCTTTAAGTTCGTAAGACAGTATATTTTGCCACGTGTAAAGTAAAAGGTCAGACAACCTTTAATACAATAATAGTAGAAAATTAATAACATTAACAAGAAATTTATTAAATAAATTCAAAAATTATAATATAATGGAAAATTTTATTATAGTGGTTGACAAAATTACAATAATATTGGACAAATATTAATCAATACAACGGAAAAAGTACGATTGACATTTCTGACCATATTTGTCTTAAATACGACATTGTTGCATTTCACCGATGTCCGAATCAAAAAAAATTTTGGTATTGTACAAAGAGTTATTCTTTTTTGAGATTAAATTAAACATTTTTGGTATTTAACCAAAAGTTATTATTTTTGTGGTTAAATTACATGTTTTTACTATTTTTCATGTTGTGATCGATCATGAAGATCTCTTGATCAATTATAACTTCATCTTTAAAAGGTATAATTTTATGACCATTGTAATTTTTACCTCAAAAATTATAAATTTTGACACGGTGGTACCATATATTTTCCCAAAGACTTGAGCAATATGTTTTCCATTTCAACAGGAAAAATTATATCCTTCACAGGTAGTTTTGATCCATTGAACCATACTAGATTCAAATGGATGCAGTCCTATGACAAGATAGACCTTGTCCAATAAAGGAGGAAAGAATGGATAAAAACTGATGTTTTAACTACTCTTGTTTCATTGAAAAAAATAATTTTATCAAATAATAAAAATATTTTAATACCTATTTTGCAAAAGTACTTAAACAAAAAGGTACATTTAAATATTATTTTGAGATTTTTCGTTTTTCTCTTTTTGTGCAATGGTGGAAGAAGTAATTATGTCGGCATTTCGCAAACCCAATTTTAGATCCTGCGCCACAAGACCTCAAGACATTAGACTTGTAAGACTCCTCCAACACTCCCGTGAGGTTAGCAAGTGTTGTTCGATCCACGGAAATTCTCATACCATGGACCCTTACTTTTAGGCGAGACATGAATAGCGATATCATTGGACTGAAGTGGGGGCGGGAGGCATACTCTCCATTTCTGTATCCGCTTAAATTGATGGCAAAACCACTTACGATCGATCTTAATTTTATATTCTATTTTTACTTTTTTATTATGCCCAGCACCTTTTCGTATGGTACCAATTTTTTCTCTATTTGGTACCATAGAATTCACCTGCTTCTTATCTCTTCCGTGATGTCGAATTTATGCTCTGGACGTCCTCTCAAACCAATGGACAGTGACGTAATCGTCCTCTCACACATGTTTTTTCACACGAAAAAACATTAAGGACCGGGCAAATTGCGTGATGGTCCTATTTTTGGGCCCCTAATTAATCTTGTACTAACAATGTCGTGTGGTACAAATTACACTCTCTATTTTTAAATATATGTTATTTAAAAATAAAGATTTTTACATAAAGATTGAAGAAGTTATTAAATAATTTTAATTTGAGTTAAAAATAATTACACAAAACTAAAATATTTTTATTCAATACGTATTAGGAAGAAAAGGAATATGAAAGACACTTAGCCTCCACCTAATCTAATGTATTGAAAAGTTAATGCTCCATTTGGTAGGATCGATGGAAAGTAGGAATGATGGAAAGTTGGAAGGATACACTTTCTATATTTCAAGAATGGAAAATAAGAATGATATATTTTCCTTCTTTTGTGTTTAGTTAAATGAACGAAAAATAAAAATAACCAATTTAAAAAAAAGAAAAAATTTGTCTAATATTAAAAGTGACAATCGAGTCGTGTCATGTCAGATTCATGTTAAGTTATAAAATTATAAGTCTTTTATATTTTTTGCTCACGTGTCAAGTTATTTTCAAGTTCGTGTCGAGTTATAATCAAGTTCGTATTATAAAATTCGTGTCGAATTCGAGTCATGTTATCATGTTGAGTCGAAAACTTTTACCTCTACTTAAGATGAAAAATATATTTTTTAAATTTTAATTTTAATTTTTTTAATTTTAATTTTATATATATATATATATATATATATATATATACATATTTTTGTTATTGTATTTTTATATAAAATTAATGTATATATAATATATAGATAAATAAGATACATTTCAACACAAATAATTAATTTTACATCCACTTTCTTTTCGATTTTGAAGGGATTAATTTTGGTAAGTTAGAAGGAAAGTTAATTCATCCACTTTTTCATCTTTCTTATTTTTCTTCCTTATCAAACATGATGTTTTATTTATTTCTCTAACTTTTCATCTTTTTAATTTTTTATCATATCAAACGGAACACAAGGATAAATGTGGAAGAAAAAAAATATTATTAATATTTTGATTTTATTAAACGATATATATTAAAAAAATAAAAAATTATGTAAAATAATAGATATTTAAGAGTTGAGGGAGGACAACCTGTCCAAATCAATCAAACAACGTGTAAAACAACTGTATTTCATGGGAATGCAACAGTGGCGGTACAACACATTTTAGTATCATCATCATCATCATCAAATGTGTGTCCTCGGACTATTAAAACAGCTAGCGACCATTCAATGCAGATATGTGGGGAAAGGGGCGGGCTCCGGTACAGGCATTTAATTTTTTGGTACAACATGAAAAAGCATTTAAGTTCGTAAGACAGTATATGTTGCCACGTGTAAAGTAAAAGGTCAGACAACCTTTAATACAATAACAGTAGAAAATTAATAACATTAGCAAGAAATTTATTAAATAAATTCAAAAATTATAATATTGTGAAAAAATTTATAACATCTGTGAAAATTTATTATAGTGGCTGACAAAATTACAATAATATTGGACAAATATTAATCAATACAACGAAAAAAGTACGATTGACATTTCTGACCATATTTGTCTTAAATACGATATTGTTGCATTTCACCGATGTCCGAATCAAAAAAACTTTTGGTATTGTACAAAGAGTTATTCTTTTTGAGAGTAAATTAAATATTTTTGGTATTTAACCAAAAGTTATTATTTTTGTGGTTAAATTACATGTTTTTACTATTTTTCATGTTGTGATCGATCATGAAGATCTCTTGATCAATTATAACTTCATCTTTAAAAGGTATAATTTTTATGACCATTGTAATTTTTACCTCAAAAATTATAAATTTCGACACGGTGGTACCATATATTTTCCCAAAGACTTGAGCAATATGTTTTTCATTTCAACAGGAAAAATTATATCCTTCACAGGTAGTTTTGATCCATTGAACCATACTAGATTCAAATGGATGCAGTCCTATGACAAGATAGACCTTGTCCAATGAAGGAGGAAAGAATGGATAAAAACTGATGTTTTAACTACTCTTGTTTCATTGAAAAAAATAATTTTATCAAATAATAAAAATATTTTAATACCTATTTTGCAAAAGTACTTAAACAAAAGGTACATTTAAATATTATTTTGAGATTTTTCGTTTTTCTCTTTTTGTGCAATGGTGGAAGAAGTAACTATGTCGGCATTCCGCAAACCCAATTTTAGATCCTGCGCCACAAGACCTCAAGACATTAGACTTGTAAGACTCCTCCAACACTCCCATGAGGTTAGCAAGTGTTGTTCGATCCACGGAAATTCTCATTGTTCTCACCGACAATTATGTTGTGCCGGAGTTGGGTTATTGTTCAAATCACCCTTTGACGTCGCTGCAATTTTGGGAGTTCTATCTAAGCCTCACTAGTAGTGGACTTTCATTGTGGGTTTGAACTCTAGTAAGGGACGGAGCTATGCAACGGCCTTGTACTTTTATTAGGGGTGTCAATTTTATTCATTAATATGAACTCGATTCTAATTTGATCCGACACAAAATCTGAAAATAATACGATTAGTTAACGCAGATAATAAATATATCAAATTAATGTTTTACACGAATAATACGATTAACGAGTACTGTAGATAAAAAATAAGTATTTAACAAGTATTATAGATAAAAAGTAAGAATTTTTTAATATTTTTAATTTTATTATATGAGTTTTTGTAGAACTAAATAATTTTTTATTGATATGAATATCAACACGAATCCGACACTTATTCAAAGTAACTAGATACAAAAAAAACACGATAAAAAATTACTTGACACAAAAATGATACGACACCGACACAATTGACACTCCTTCTTTGTAGACCACCTATAGTTATCCTATTGAAATTATACATCTTGTTGTGCTTCTACCCCGACCCACCAAAACAAATATCTCAGTCGCAAACAATTTAGAACGGCAGGGAGTTGAAAAAGACGTAAAAACCAACAAAAAAAAAATCAGCCGAAGTTGAAAAGCAAGTCAAAAAATATCAGGCCCTATGTTTTTCTTCTCTGATCAATTAATTGGTTAATATTTCAGATTTTTTTCATATAAATTTCTTTTTTCTGTTTTGAATTTTTTTTTCAAGTGAAGAAAAATTCCTAATATGTTCTTCGCACAGTTTATGCGCCACCAAAGTTATATATTTTTTTTTTGAGGGGGTGCATTCTTTGATAAGTTTATTTTTTATGTCAAAATTGAATATTGTCCAGTAGGAAAGATGCATTTTAAGTTATATTTTTTGTATTTGTTGTTTTTCTTACTCTAAATAATTCATTTGAAATTGTAGGCAATGTTTTTTTTTTTTGGTGTTTTTTCTTTTCCTTAGAGTAATGTAAGTTCATGAAATTATTATTTGCTTTCAATGTTTTTACAATAATATGGAAGACGCTGGTCTTGAAGACTCTTTGATTATATATATAAAAAAGGAAGTTGCTAAAAATTTTAGCACAGATTTTGAGTACCACTATGATAAACGAGTGGCAGACACTTGTTAAAAAAACTATTGTTTTTGTTCATTCTTTGATTGATATGGTTTTATACACTGTGCAAATAGTTCTCAAGATTGATATGAATTTTTGTATATAACGCTTGCCCCCCCCCCCCAGGACAAAATCTTAGTTCTATCCCAGATTGTAGTCACATCCAGACAGTAATTCTATTTTTTTCCGATAAAAAAAAAAAAAAAACAAGTACTAAACACAATACTTAAAAAAACGTTAACTAATGGTCTATTAATTTCTCATGAGAACCGTATGAAAAATGTTATCACTAAATTTTAGGATCAAGTATTGCAGAATGACAAAATCCTTCTAATTATAATGTCCATGAAACATGATTTTTGGAAGAGTTCTGTACCACATAAATGACATATTCGACGTCTATTTGCTTAGATAAAAGAAAACACAATACATTGGGTTGACTCATTTTCGCCTACATCATCTTCCACTATCCCATGGGCAGGCCTAGATTCCCATTCTCAATTTTCATCCACTAAAAACAAGTTATGTGTAGAGTTTTTATATTTTATTCTTTTTAATCAATAATTACAAAATAATATGAGATGTCTCTTTAATACGAAATGAAATTAAAGAATTTAAGTCTTTTTTAAAACACTTATTTCATAAATGAGTAAAATTAATACGACACGATTAATAAATAAATTTGGAATGAGTGAATTTAAAAATTATACGACTTATTTATTTATTAGTTATACATGATTCATACACGGTATAAATCCGATATAACACGACTCGTTAAATACGAATTAATATTATTAGTTGGCAATATTATATCACATTATCATGTGATATAACCGTTGCAATGAATATTTTCTACATTATCATGTGATATTGGATTCCTCAAATGCAAAGGATGTTTTTGGCCGATTCTACTTTGATTTTTTTTATATTTTTTGAGTAAATTATACTTTATCCCCTTAAATTATTATTTTTATTTTATTTTATACCCTTAACTATAAAATTTCTTACATTGCACCATAAAATATAAATTTGTTTCGGTTCATTCCAATAAATAATGACAAACTTGAAAATATCTATAATATAAAACAGAACAGGGCTTCAACAAACCGATCGGACAATTTTCATTCATCCAAGGCTCACAATACATCTCATTCAACTTAACCCAATCCGACCATCACATCCAACCCAACTTAATCAAATCCAACCATCACATCCAATTCAACCCAACCCAACCCATCCAATCTAACCCAACCCACCTCTCACATCCAACCCAACCCCAACCCAACGACTCCTTGTAAAAAAACAGAGCAACCTCTTTTCTCTCTCACGTCTCTCAGGCGGTCACTTCCCTCAATTCCCTAGACAAGCAACCGCGCCATGGCAGCACACAGGCGGCGAGTCACTTCCACCCTTTGGGCTAACACCCCCCCCCCCACCATCCCTCTTCTGCGCAAACACCTCCTCTCACTCTCTCGCATCAGATCGCTGTCCAAAGCCACAGATCTCTTTGCTCAATCTCCGGTTCACGCAAGTATTTGATTCATTATCATCGTCATTTTTATAGATCATTTCATACCCATGATCCTGATCCAATCTTTCTTCATTTGATGTTGATGATTTTGATCTGGGTTTTTTGTATTGTAGCTTTCACATTCAGATTTCTTGGTTCTCTTGCTTCTCGCCTCTCCCTACCGCCTCCTCCTCTTTGAGTCTTAGAGACTCTCGCCTCTCTCGCCGTCTCATCTTCGAAGCCACCAGCCAGCCACAAGCATCCAGTTTCTCTCTCTCTCTGTATGACAAGTCTCTAAGTGAGTATTAATTCCTTTTATTTTTTTGAAATTGAAATCATATGATGAGAGTTTCATGAGTTTTTTTTGTTAAGATAAATTATAATGGATTTTAATCTTAAAGCCCATGCTTTTTTTTTTGACTCTGCTACTGAGCCGGCCATGCTTCTTTCTTCGTGCATCTCCAATATTTGATTGATGAAGAACATAATAAATTATTCATTTGTCTCTTTGTGTTCAATTGGGTTGGTTCAATTTGATAGCAGAAATAGGGTTAATTGGCTAATAAATACATGGGTCTGTGCGTGAAAGTTTGAGTTTGTTTGTTTTGATAGAAAGTATTCCTTGGAACAAGCATGTTTGTAAAAAAAAAATTTTGATTGATGTTTGAGTTTATCAGATTATTATATATAACGGTATTGGGTGATACCCTTGATGCAGAACTCATGTCTGTAAAAATTTTCATTGCTTCGTCAAGATTGCCCACCAAGCAATATGCATGAATCAGTGTTTCATAAGTAACAATGATGGGCACAAGACCTTCCTTAACCATCCGCCTCATTAGTGTATGGGCCGTCCTAAGATCTCCAATTTCACTGAAATATGAAATCAAAGTGTTGTATGTAACACTATCAGGCTTCACTCTAGCTTCCTCTAAATCCTTAAGCATCTCATAAGCTTTCTCCAATCTATTCTTCCTACAGAATCCACTAATCAGAACATTGTAGCTTTCTCCAATCTATTCTTCCTACCGAACCCGACTTGATGCCACAGAGCTAGCATCATCCACCCTTCTAGCCTGGCTTAGACTAGTGTATGGGCCGTCCTAAGATCTCCAATTTCACTGAAATATGAAATCAAAGTGTTGTATGTAACACTATCAGGCTTCACTCTAGCTTCCTCTAAATCCTTAAGCATCTCATAAGCTTTCTCCAATCTATTCTTCCTACAGAATCCACTAATCAGAACATTGTAGCTTTCTCCAATCTATTCTTCCTACCGAACCCGACTTGATGCCACAGAGCTAGCATCATCCACCCTTCTAGCCTGGCTTAGACTAGAGATCAAGCAGTAGTACACAATTGCATGTGGGGAACACCCGGTTTTTAACATTTCATCAAATAATGCCATAGCCTTATCAATATTGTTGGCATTGCAGAAAGCACTAATCAAGATAGTGTAAGTAATTGCATTAGTTTTCAAACCCTTTTGCTGCATTTCATTAAGGAAACCCATTGCACTATTGATTCTCCCATGCTTACACTTGCCATCAACCAAAGTATTAAGTGTAATCACATTTGGCATCACCCCCTCTTTGTACATCTGATCCAAAAGCTCATGGGCCCTCTCAATTGCACCAGCCTTGCAAAAACCATCAATCAAGCAATTGTAGGTAACAATATTAGGTTCACTTTCATGTCGTGATTTCATCAGTTCCAGTAAACCCAAGCCTTCTTCTTGTCGTGATGTAGTGGTTGGATATTGTTTGAACTTCGAGTTGGTTTTTCTCCAATTTCAGTTCCAAAGCCCCAATTTTATGCTTCCAAACACCCAGCCTTATAGATATCAAAATCTTGTTTTATATACTCAATGGTATGAACGTCTTATGTAGAGCTGCAATCACAATCATTGTGTTTTTATTTGTTTGTTTTGTGGGTCTGTTTGAAGGATGGACTGGATGCAGTGAGAAGTAACGTGCAAGCTCTAACTGCAAATGTAGGGAAACTTGCAACCTTAAGCCATTGATTGACAAATTGTTTTCTTATTGCTAAAGTAGCAAATTAGGAGCTTTTAAACAAAAAAAAGAAAAAAAAAGGGGGGGGGGGGGAGGGAAGAAAAGCAGGTTCATTATTTCTTTGATGTGCTTTTGGAATGTTCAATAGGGAAGCATGAGAAAATCAGAAAAAGTAAAAGCTTTAAGGCATTAGTTATTGCCTTAAAGCATTAGTTTAACTCATTTTTTTTTCCCCAGTCATTGTACAGGCATTGCGTTCTATTCAATTTTTGGGGTTTTATTCTTAAAATGGATTTGGTTCTTTGATCAGGTTTATTAGGCCAGCGTTCACTGCGAAAGGGCCTGAGTTCACATCTTCTAGCGGTAAGAATACTCATTTCGACTCTGCAATTCTGACTGAATTTTTTCTCTTTTTATTTCACACACTGAATTTATTTCACTTTCAGGCAGTTTCCAACGAGTTCCTCCAGTGACTGTTCTGGCTCTTCTCAGTCATCAGTGCACGGTAAGTTTATTTCTAATATTCTGAGATTGCCTTTTCTAAAGAGCCTTCCACAACCAGGCTTTTGTAAAGGGTGATATAGCTACCAGTAAAACCTTGGGACACTCCTCGTGTGGAAGATGACCACAACCAGATATTGCAACCGGTCTCTGCACAACAACAAATCATTGCACAATTAGATGAAAGTTCAGTTTCATTTTCTTCACTCAGTAAAATAACAATTTCTCTGAAAAATACTGAAATCTCTTGTATTTTCACCTACTTTTTTTGGTGTACATGTGACTGGCTGGCCATAAATGACAGGCAACAGACCATTAATGACACCAAATATTCTATAGTCTATAACCAAAGTAATGAGCTCACCTGCCAGAGGCTTTTTTAGACATCTTCGACAACTATCACCAGCACCACTGGTCCACTATTGACAATTACCCATCTTAACAAGTTACATGGAAACTCACTTAAAACTCAGCCAGACTTTTTTTTTTTTTTTTTTTTTTTTTTTTCAGGGTTGTAAAATAAACTAAGTCACTTAAAACTCAGCTCATGACTTGCTCACTCAAAGGCTCATTTAAGTTCTCTTTTTGCTGGTAAGGCTCACTCAAGTTCAACACAAACAAGCCAAGCTTGACCGCATTTTAAGGCTTGTTGAATTATAAAACTTTGTTTGACCTTTGCTTGAATAGCTCATAAGCATCATATGCCATATGAAAGACCAAGCTACTTTGTGATAAGCTCTTTTAGAGTTGGCTTGATCAAACCAAGTTTAAGTTTTCTTTTGAAGCATGTCAAAATTTTCAAACTAGGTTTGAGTATCCCAATTACTCAGCATGGCTAAATATGATTTAAAACACTTCAAATATTTCAAAATGTGAAATATACAATAGACACTAATAGAGAGCTACTTACAGAATTTACAAGTTTTAAAGCCACAGTTCGAACAGCTTTTAGAGGAACAAGGGCATCGTCGGCACCAGCAATAACCAGAACTGGTAAGTCTTCATCTGCTTTTAGTAATGACTCTGCATTTTGTGGTGAGAGGACTGTCTTAAATGATAGTTTTCCTATCTCGCGGAGGGCTTCATCCCAACCTTCTATACATAATGGGGCCTGATTTCATAGCGGACATGTGGAACAGGTCAAATGGTCAGCATGTTTATAATTGTGATCCAGATGTCGGAGGTAAAAAAAATTATGGAAGATCACTATGCAAAATCAAGCAAACATGAGTAACCATGTGAGTTAAGTTGCATTTCATTTTATACTCCGTAATTTTAGCCTAAGTACTGAGCATACATCCAAATATTTGAAGTTATTGCTTTACATTGAGAGAAAAAAGCAAACCTCTTGAGCAAGCACATGAAATTTGGTCAATGAGAAATAAAATGGTGTCCACCAAGATCTAAAAAGGAAAAACTCACACACCCAAATGGTTCATTTAACAACTGTATGTTTCCATCATCAACAGCTGGAACACTTGCTACTTTCAAGCAATAGCTGAGCCACTAAATTAGCTAGACCAAGCATGAATGCCCATCTTACTTTTAGTGACTGAAATCTTACTCTTGAGTATTTTGTGCAGTTGGTGACATATTGTGTTAATATGTGATGTTGTAGGAAAAAAAAAATAGGATTTGGTTTTATGGGTTTGGCCACTTTGAGGAATAAAGTGGTATTTTTTTATGTTATCATTGTGTTTCTTTTGGTTATTACATACTTGGGTTATCAATATTTTGTGGTTGTAGTATCAAATGTGTGTTACTTCTTTCAAGGTTGTCGTAGTTTGTTTATAAAAATTGTGTATACAAGTGAAATAATTAATACAAGGCAGGTATTAGCAAATTGATATTTTTTTACATTATCTTTCATCAAATTGATATGATTATGTACTATTTAACTAAATTTGAAATTATTTTGAAAGCGCAAAAAAAAAAAAAATTATTTTGATTAAATATTGGTGAATTGTTTGTCCAGCATAACATAGTTTCTTCAGACACAAATATTTGTTCGCTTTTTGTTGTTTTGTTTCCTTGTTGTGTTTGCCTGATTTTTTTTAAATTGTACAGTGCCTTCAGGCACGGGTTATAGGAATTTTCATTGCTTAGTTGCTGAAAATGCAATTCTAGAATTCAGTATGAGGTGTTCATCGATGATGGCTTGTGATCTTAAGAAAAGGGTGCTTTTCACCTGGATACTTTCTCTTGGAAACCCATAGGAGAAACAAATTGGTGAGCCACAAAATATAATCACACAACATCACTGTTCATATAGGAATGAATCTGGACTCTAGAGATGTATTAGGAGTGGGAGTGGAATGAAATTACATATACTAAGAGATAGCATGCTTCACAGTTTTCTGCTTTTCCTTTTTAGCAATTTAGCTTATTTATGTGTTCCACCTCAACGCAAAGAGGCTCACACTCAACATAGATCTACACGCACTGAGGCGCTCTCTCTCTCTCTCTCTCTCTCTCTCTCTCTCTCTCTCACGCACTAAGGTTTTAGTTATCTCACACTCAACAACGTCTCTTTTTATTTCACGCACTGAATTTATTTCACTTTCAGGTTGTTCCAGCTGTTCTCCTCCAGCGACTGTTCCGACTGTTTTCTCAATCCTCGGTGCAAGGTAAGTTTATTTTTAATATTTGAGATTGCCTTTTTTGAACTGTAAGTTTCTAAGTTTCTGACCTGTACTTCTTATGAAGACTTTATATTTCATGTAAAACTACTCAGTGTATTACTGGGTTGACCTTAATTTTGTTCAAGGTGTTACATGTTACTATTTTTTTCCGTGAGCATTTTAATGTTTTTTCTCCTATGCATTATCAACTTTCAATATTGGTTCGACCTCTAATTTTGTTCAGTTTTCTATGTTACTACTTTTGCGAAATTTAGACCTCTAATTTGTACTTATCAAACCAAACTCTGCGAAGCATTATGGAGTTGAATAATGCTTATTTGTTAAGGTTGGAGCTTATGCTAATGCTAATGCTGTGAATGTGTGGTCTTTATGAACTATGTTTTTTTTTCATTTCAATACAACTTGCATTATGTAGCAGTAGACAATTGATGATGATATCCTTTACCAGAGTGCTCCGTGTATTGTTCAGAAAGTTCTGAGGATACTCAATTGATTTGATTGCCAAGAATAATATTTTGGTTGTTTTATGTTTTTATAAGTTTCTAAGTTTCTGAACTGCCTTTTCTTGGTCCTTTAATTGGGTGGTGGTGGTGAGCATTTGAGTGGAAAAACCCAATTCAGGCATTTTTCTAATGTTTCTCATTCTTCACTTTAACCAATGGTTGCTTCCACAGTGTGGCTTTGGCATAATGGCTTCCACAGTATGAAAACTCCAACTGGGTTGGTATTTTTTGTCTCCAGTCAAAGGTATGTTGATTAAGGTTTTGCAATTCGTAAAGTATTTGGGAACTAAGGATGATATTTTGTTGTTTATCTTTGGTGGGTAGCTGAAAGCTTGGATCTTTTGCATTGAATAGTCTTGAATCTTTAGCTCATGTCTCATATTTTGTTTTTTGTTTTTTTGTGGCCACTGTTCTATTGTTGATGCATCACGAAGTTTGCCACTTTTTTTGGTAAGCCTCTTTGATTGGAGCTTGCAGTCCCATTGCCTTGGATGTGTGCACTATATTTCAGATGTTTTTTTTTCTAGCTATTGTTCAATTAGCTTTAATTATTTTGAATTATTATGCAGTACCTAGGTTCCATTGTTGTGAATGTTTGTTTTTGTTTTGTACGTGTGTGTATGCTATCAAAAATTTAATTTTTCATTTTGTTGGTTCTATTCTATTGGTTACTTCAGTATTGGTTACTTCAAATAAGTTTTTATAGGGTTTTGATTAATTATAGAGATTGTATGTCAATTAGTATGAAATAGAGGTTTATTGTGTGTTAATTGATAGAGATTGTATGTCAAGCAGTATGAATATGTGTATTTAACGAATATTTCTAATTTTTTGATTTACTCTATCTTATATTTGCAGCCATCATAGTGTGTTAACTACCACTGCAAACTCTAAACATTGAAAAATGAAAGATCTCACAATTTTTGGTCGTGTGAGTTTAAACATCTTCTATTTTTTTTTTTTTTTTGGCACCACAAAATATTCACATATTTATTTCACGCATATTTTTACAGATTAATGAAGACTTAGAGGAAACCGTAAGATGAGTTT